CAAAATTAGCTTAAGTACAGGAACATATTAAAATAACTATATACATATAATGCAAAACACTTATTTTTTAAAATGCACACACACACACACATGTTTTATTAAAGCAAAAGACACTGTGTAGCGGAGGTTAATGTAACGTTAGTTTAATATGCTGGTTAAATGCAACAACTTTTCGGTTTCACCGGTAGGATTTCTACGGTCTTGGTCATGCTGACTCATATGACTCAAATGACTCAAATGACTCGTATGATCCGGATCTCTTCAATGATTGACTCAGAAGACTCCGAGTCCATAAAATGATCCAGATTTGCCATCTCTAGCCCGAACCGCTCAGGTGCTGCTGTTATATATCCTCTCCTGGCTCCTCCCTGCGGGCTGGCCCTCCACATCTTAATGTCCGTTGTTACGTTAAACAGAGGATTCAGGCATTGTACATTCAATATATACTTAAACACGCCTCTTCTCCTCATATTGTCTTTCATCACTTTTCCTTTAACACATTCTAAATGTTGTAGTTAATATTCTAAAAAATACAGAAAATACTTCACGGCTGGTTTGGTTTCTGGTCATTCCGGATGTTGTCACATTTTACCCACGTCTGTAAACAATAACTTTATTCAAATAAACTGTACCTTCATTTAATATTCAGCAATAATAATACGTCTATAGTTGCAGTGTTAAAATCAGTAGGTTTCGGTGTCCATCACTCCATGTCATTTCGCTACTAAATTCACCTACAGAAATGGTAAACTAGCCACATGCTAACTGCTAACCGGAGATGAAGGATTTTCAGAATAAAAGCTTAACAACTGGTTGTGCACAAGAATTTTCTGGTTTTTCAGTATAAAACAGCATTTAACTGACGGTATGTTTAAACTACATATATACCATCAAAACATTGATTTTAATTTCTAACAGTCCCTCCTTACACACCTAAAAGGTGTTAATACTGAAATCAATGAGTTCTTCATCTGAACATTGCATAGTACATAACTCATATTACAAACATACAATAAAAATGGAATGGTTCAATAGCCTTAACTTTACAAAAATACAAAAAATACTTTTACTGGACACAAACACAACAGTTTTCCCTTGTGCTTAACTTCTAGTGTTTACATTCAATATGGTTCTTCAAAATAGCAGCAATGGCTTGGCATTAGAACATTTCTTCCTCCCTCCTTTCACAGAAACCGTTCTCATACCACGCTCAGTGTTAAGGCACTTGTTTTTACAAAGTGAAAAGAAACAACCCATTTTAGAATAGCAATGATTCTAAAATACATGAAATCTACCATATAGAACAGTGTAAAATAATAAAAATGAAATAAACTATCTTGTACCAGTGTAATGTAATAATAAAAATAAAAATACACTATCTTGGAATAGTATAATGTAATAATAAAAATACACTATCTTGGAATAGTATAGAGTAAAAATTAAAATACACTATCTTGGCATAGTATAAGTAAATTGAAATGGATTCACTCCATTTTAGCATTTTATTTTGCTCACTTCTTCACATGATGTCATCATTTAAAGAATCACATTGGCTGGACATTCATTGAACAATCTCATCTCTGAACATCCACATCATTTAACAGCATTCAAACTAACTCATCATTTTCATCAACATCTGTATATGGGGGTGGATCGTCCTGTTCTGCTAGCATTTGTAACTGTCCCCCATGAGAAATGTACCCTCCCTCCTTTCATACCATTTAAGGTATGAAAGTAATATGTTCTCTGGGAGAGGCCGTCGTGATCAATCTGTATTTTAGGACATGGAATTAATGCAACATCTAGGCCTCTCCTGGGCGCCCCTATGCTATCCTTTTACCCTGGAGCCTAAACTCCCCCTGGGACTGGTCTCTTAGCCCTACTGGCTTTGGGGTGGTCTGTTCTAATGATAAGTGATACAGTCCCTGAAATGGTGTGAAAACCGGTGGAATATCAATAACTCATTATACTAATTTATTTTCATTTCTGGTCTACTTAAATAACTATGCTAACCTCCTTAACAGTGTGTGGAACCTTGGGTGCCGAGCATGTGATAATTACTCCCTCCTTTAACAAGGACTTTAAAAACAGAAGTCATTTCATTAATGGTTTGTAGTTCAATTCAGGAATTTTCACTCATGGCAGATATGTTTCTCCTTTTAAATAACATCTCTAAATGTCAGGTCATCACTGATTAAATGGATGAGCATTAGGAGGTGGTGGCACTTGTCTTTTAAAACTCATACTCTGGTGCCGTGCGCTCCCTCTGAAGCTGCAAGTAAGATTTAAAACATCTGCAGGGTGGGTTGAGCAACCCCTTCTCCCTGAACGATATTTGTTGTCGAAAATATGCACCATTAAAATGAGTGATCCAAGGCCCCGCATGTATTACTCCCAATTATACTAGTTTTTTCAAAATTAAAATCTTCAATCGCTCTTTGCCTAGTGTCTTTTTAAAACTCTACATCTTGGACGACAAAAAAATGTTGTTTCCACCTTAACAGTTCTCCTATGGTAACAACCATGCTACAATGGTGAAACCAATACTCTAGATTGGAATACTTTCTTTGGCTTGGTACTATTTTCCATTCAAATAAAGATTTGCCTGCTATCTATATTGTAACAAATTAAATCTTCCCCAAATTCTCACATGAATAAGAATCTCTATAAGAATAATTTGTTTATTATGATGAAAAGATTGAATAATATGTTCTACCCTCAGTGTGTGTTTTTAGGATTATTTTCTAATAAGTGTGTTTATGTGTAAACTCACTCACTCCTGTGTTCCTTCTCTCCCCCTCTGGTCCTCAAGCCACGACCCCCTCATGTTCTGCTGGCCCATGCCAACTCCTCTGGTTCTGTCTCCTCCTCCATCCTGTCTTCTCCTCAGTCCATCCGCACTTGGATCTTCCCGCTGTAACTCTTTTCAGTGGCCCAACTGCTTTGCATTTCATCTCCTCCTTTTCAGTCTCTACGCTGTTGCATGGAGGGCGTATTCTGCTCTCATGTCCCACACTCTGCTCTTGTGCCAAATCTCGTGGCTCAGTTTGGAACTTCCTGTGGGGGACCGATGAGAGTTTGCCTCTTTGTCAGCATGCTGGTTTGGTGCTGGATGCCTCAGGTGGAGATGGTTCTGGATGCCTCAGGTGGAGATGGTTCTGGATGCCTCAGGTCGTTGTTGGTTAGCTCGGGTTGTCTGTCTGTTTGATGGAGGAGGAGGAGTCTCCTGTGGTGAGGTCATTTGTCTGAAGATGGGGTCGGAGCGTTCTGACAGGCAGAGAGAGAGAGAGAGAGAGATCTCGGGACGCATTACCTATAGTTAATTCTAACACACTGAGGTAAAACATATCCAATCCTTTCCACTATATTTTCCTAATCTTACCATCTGTCTTAGATGTTAAATGTCATCTAAACCCAATTAATGTCTACTAATGGTTGTGCCATATCCCTAAACATTGTTTCCACCCACTGTAACATGTTTACTCCAAATAACTCTTTCAGGAAACCATTTTCTTCTATAAATTAAAAATACCTACATATTTCACACACTATAAAAGAACGTCCCCATATTTTCTCCATTACTTTAAATCTCACTGTTATTTAGAACATAAGTAACTTTTGTGACTGGACATATCTGCAATGTCGCCACAATCTGCTGGGGAATTTTGTTCATAGAGTTTGTACGTACAAAGCTGTACTTGTAGGTTAGTAGCCTGTTTCTACTGTAATCATTTTCAATAATTGTGCTCAGGTCACCGGTTGGTTGTCCATAAACTTAACAGGGGTGTTTCTGGCACAGACTAAAACATGGATCCAGTGTATTTGGAGATTCCCCTAATCTGTAAATCCCCATCACTGATTATCCCGATCACTTAAACCCATCTCATCATTTGATACAAGAACTGCATATATGGGGTTGAATCATCTTGATTGTAACCTCCTCACCTTTGGGACCGAGTATTTCTAACTCCTCCTCTTGTTGCTCAGCTGATCTTTTGGCTCTGGGGATAAGTGAAAGTCTCTGAAACACAGCTGGAGTTTTGTTAGTGATGTGGGCATTCTCTATGAGTGGACTAATGGATCCATGTCTTACTTGATATTGTACTCCCCATCCAACCAGAAAGGTGCCAAGTGTAATGAGCACAATCAACAATGCTATTCTGACTCTTATCCCTAGGGGACCCCACAATTGCTTTGGCTTTGTTCTTGACATCATCTCTATTTTCTCCCTGGTTGTGTCAGTTACAGAATTTAAATAATGAGTTCTATAATAACGTATACAAAATTGGACTCTTTTCAGATGTAAAACAAAAAATAGGTTTTCACTTTAGTGTACAATCTATAAAAATCTATAGACAATTCGTCTTTTGAGCTGTTTCTATCTTTATCTTATTTATATTTATTGTTTTGTTCCAGCTCTGCCAAATCAGTCCACTGTAAAAACGCAAACTTAAAATTGTTGGCCTGAAAATAATTTGTTTGTAAAGTGAACAAAAAATATTGAATTGAGTTGCTTACTACATTAAAGTAGTTCTCTCGACTATCTTTATTATGTTGCTTGTTTAAAGTGTGTGTCATTTAATAAATTCAGTTGGCAAAACTTAAAAATCCAAGGTTAGAGTTTAAACTAAGTTCTTTGTGTATGCTTCGAGCTTTGAAAGGGGTCTTCAACAGAAATCTGCAGGGGGTTTTCTACAGTATTTCGCCTTTACATGTTCGGCAGTGGCACTCTGCTGTTCTCAACGGGACTGATCATCCTCAAGGTGAGCACTTTGTTTGAATGTTGTATTGAAATTATGAATATAGAAAATGACTGATTTAAAGTGTAACATTAATTGATTGCGAATTATTTAGTTGATTGTTAGTGAATTATCAGTTAATGTGGCACTAGATTTTAGTTTGTGGTACATTAGCCGAGTTTAACATTAGCTAGCTAACGCTTCTCTTCAACAGGAAAAATGTTTTAGAAACGTTTATCATGAGGACATGCGGGTTCCTATTATACATCCATGCATGCGGGTCTGTCAGGTCGAGCCTGGCGTGAGAGAGGAAACAGAACGTTAAACTGTTTTATGGCCAGAATATATGGTAAAAGACGGACTGCATAATTAAGGGAGGATTACCGTGAGTTAACGATCAACTAGAATGTAATGTGTGCGAAGGAATCAACCGTTTAAGAGCACGATATCAGCAAACATGTTTTCACCGTAGCTCCAACGATATTATTTTAAATGTTAATGTGAAATGTTAAACAACATTTAAGGTTAAACCTGTTACATAGTTATAGATCGACATGTCTGATAGGTGGTAACAGTAATTTCTCTGTCCCCGTCAGTGCAGCAGACCGACGGAGACGAGACGACGGAGTGTGTTGAAGAGGCCTATATGAACAACTACAATCCCCGGTTCAGGTGGCGACTGGCGCGCTAACGGAGCTCCAGGAGGGAAAACCTTTGCGACGCTGAGGTTCGGCTGATTTGCAAAGGTATGCTAACATGGACGTGTGTTGTCTGCCACATGGTCGGCTTTTAGCTTGAAAAATATACGATGGTGCATATTAGCGTTAGCATAGGACAGTAAGAAAGGTACTACTTATTACTGCAAGAGCAGCTGGTGGTAAGGACCTCGGACAACTTAAATTTAAAACATGCTATTGAGACATGTGCCGTCAGTTTGAGGCGTGATTGAAGGTCATTCCAAGACCAAGGACCACAATAAAAAAGACTCCTTTTCCCAGCCTCAGTCTGCACAGCAGGAACCTGGAACCGTATCCAGGCACTGGATCTGAGGTTGTAAGAGTCACAAACTGGAGCAAATCTGGCAAGTTTAGTGTTTTATTCCGTTATAACAAAATAGCAATAAACAACGGTTTCCTTTTTAAGCCATTCTTAAATAAATGCAACAAGCTGTAGTTTTTGTGGACTGTAAATACACCAACTATATCTTTAGTTTATGATTTGTGTTATCAAATATGTTCTGCGGCTACAGATATTTATTTTTTGTTGAAATGGGGCTCTTGTGATAGTAAAGGTTGCAGACCCACCAGTGATTCCCACAGCATGTTAATACTTTGGGGGGCCCCCAAAGTATAATGGCTCCCCCCAAAGTATAATTTGTGTGTTTTTTTGGTTTTTTTACTCAGTGAGCACTCATTTGCATTTGCGGCAATGAGTGCTCAGTGAGTAAAAAAACTTAAAAAACCATAAATTATACTTTGGGGGGAGCCACCCATAAATTATACTTTGGGGGGAGCCATTATACTGGTAAACAGCCTCTATGGGCGCGAGTCCAGACCCACTTTTGGAATCAAATGATGACGTCAGTGAGATTATCTCCTTTATCAACTCCTAAGCATCCCCGGGACAACATCACTAGCCCCGCCCCTAAAAAGGTGTGAACTTGAGCCAATCAAGGACTACTACTACTAGGTCGTCCTTAGACGAGTTTGCCAACGGGTTCGCCAATCCTCACGGTCCTCCATACACCCGGCCAGCTCTGTGGAGCTTTCCACCCCCACATCCTTCCTCAGCACCTCCACGTATGTTGGCGTGGGGCGCCCTCTTGGTCGGTGCCCGTGTGTTGGCTCCCAGAGTACTAACTTGCCAGCTGGAAGTTCCTGGTGTCGATGGCAGTGACCTGAACATTTCAGTTTCCTGGATGCCACCTTGTCACTCAGCCTGGGTAGCCCAGCAGGACTAGCCCCGCTCCTACATTTTTGAGAGATTTCTGAGGAGATTTTTTTTCACGCACCGCCACCACCCCACCCCACCCCGAGTCGTTCCCCCAAAGTATATTTCATTTCTGCGGGAATCACTGCCCACCATATATATCATACACAGTTTGTGTATATCTATGTATTGCTGTAGATAGTTAACTAATTAACTACAGTTGTGAGAACTGAGCAATCAGGCGTCCATTTTAGGTATCACTTTCCTGGAGCGTCAGCTTCAGCGTCAGACAGGCTAAGACTGACAAAGACATTAGAGTCCTACAGGAGTAAGACTGACAAAGACATTAGAGTCCTACAGGAGTCACGAGGGAGGCAAAGAGGAGGCAAATCCTACTTTGATTCAGCTAAGTATCGTTGGTGTTTTTAATTTTTTAATTTTGTTGTTTAGCCCCTCATGCTATAATCATGTGTATTTTCTCCATTCCTGTTCATGTGTCTTCTCGCAATTATCACTGGCCCCGTGTATCTCGTAATCGATATAACCGGCCTGCTCTCGTCTATCCCACGTGCTCCACTGAGATCCAACATCTAGTTTCAGGTGGCCTGTGGAACTGCCAGTCAGCTGTTCCTAAGGCTGACTTCATCTCTGGCTACGCCTCCCTGCAGTCTCTGGATTTCCTTGCTCTCACTGAGACCTGGATTACTCCATCCAACACATCCACCCCAGCAGCTCTCTCCACTGCATATTCCTTCTCCCATACACCCAGACCCACTGGCAGAGGAGGTGGCACTGGTCTCCTGCTTTCTCCCAAATGGAGCTTTTCCCTCTTCAAGCTACCTAACTTCACTCCTTCCACCTTTGAGTTCCATGCCGTCACAGTAACCCATCCTATACAGTTAACCATTGTTGTTCTCTACCGTCCACCAGGCGCCTTGGGGGACTTCTTGGAGGAATTAGATCATCTCCTCTCACACATCCCTGAAACTGGCCCTCCCGCTGTACTTCTCGGAGACTTCAACCTCCAGATGGGGAAGATAGACGAACTAACATCTCTGTTAACCGCCTTTGCATTCTCACTGTCTCCGTCCCCACCGACTCATAAAGCTGGCAATGTCCTTGATCTCATATTCTCAAGGAACTGCGCTACTTCTAACCTCTCTGTAAACCCGCTCCACACATCCGATCACTTCTTCATTTCATTCTCTCTATCCCTTTCCAAACATAACAAACTAATCTCTTCCCATCCTACACTTGTCCGCCGTAACCTTCGCTCCCTCTCTCCCTCTACCTTTGCCTTGTCGGTGCTCTCAGCCCTCCCTTCCTCTGATTCGTTCCAACTACTGCCTCCAAACTCTGCTGCAGAAACTCTCCTCTCTACTCTCTCATCCACTCTGGACTCTCTCTGTCCTCTCACATCTCGGCAGGCTCGTCAGTCCCCTCCGGCTCCCTGGCTAAATGATGCACTGCGTGCTAATAGAACCGTCCTTAGGGCAGCAGAGCGGAAATGGTGGAAATCCAAACACCGTGACGACCTCCTAACCGATCAGGCTCTCCTCTCCTCTTTCTCTGCTTCAATCTCTCAGGCAAAAAGCACTTTCTTTCAAGATAAGATCCAATCTTCCTATTCCAATCCTAAAAAACTATTTTCCATCTTCTCCACCCTCTTGGACCCTCCAAAAGCTCCTCCCCCCTCCTCACTTCTGTCAAGCGACTTTGTTACCCATTTTGAAAAAAAGGTTAATGATATTCGCTCTTCTTTTTCTGACTCACCTTTACTCACCGCTGGGTCACCAGACCTTCCTTCCACCAACACACTAACCTCCTTTTCCCCTCTCTCTCCAAGTGAGGTTCTTACCCTCATTACCTCTGCCCGCCCTACCACCTGTCCTCTGGACCCTATCCCTTCAAACCTCCTTCAGACTATCGCTCCTGATATTCTACCGTTTCTCACCCATTTCATCAACACTTCTCTAACTTCTGGTCACTTTCCAAACAGTCTCAAGGAGGCAAGAGTAAACCCTCTCCTAAAGAAACCCACTCTCAACCCGTCTGATGTTATAAACTACAGGCCTGTCTCTCTCCTCCCGTTCCTGTCTAAATCACTTCAACGCGCTGTCTTTAAACAACTCTCCTGTTATCTCAATCAGAACAACCTTCTGGATCCGCACCAGTCTGGTTTCAAGGCAGGTCACTCCACAGAAACTGCTCTCATTGCTGTCACGGAGGAACTGCACACTGCCAAAACTGCATCCCTCTCCTCTGTCATCATCCTGTTGGACCTGTCTGCTGCATTCGACACGGTGAATCATCAGATCCTCCTTTGCACTCTCCAAAAACTTGGAGTTTCAGGCTCTGCACTTTCCCTCCTCACCTCATACCTGAAAGACCGTACCTACAGGGTGACTTGGAGAGGGTCTGAGTCCGACCCTTGTCAATTAACTACGGGGGTCCCTCAGGGCTCTGTTCTTGGTCCCCTCCTCTTCTCCCTGTACACAAACTCGCTCGGATCAGTCATTAGCCCGCATGGTTTTTCTTACCGCTGACGACACCCAATTAATTCTGTCCTTTCCCCGCTCAGAGACCCAGGTCGTCGCACGCATCTCTGCTTGTCTAGCTGACATCTCTCAGTGGATGTCTGCTCACCACCTCAAGCTCAACCTTGACAAGACTGAGCTGCTCTTCCTCCCGGGAAAAGATTGTCCAACTCTTGACCTGACAATCAACATCGGCACCTCAGTTGTTTCCCCGACTCAGACTGCAAGGAATCTGGGTGTGACCCTAGATAACAACCTGTCCTTCACTGCAAACATCGTTGCTACAACCCGTTGCTGCAGATACACGCTTTACAACATCAGGAAGATACGTCCCCAGCTGACTCAGAAAGCGACTCAGGTTCTGGTCCAGGCTCTCGTCATCTCACGCCTAGACTACTGCAACTCCCTCCTGGCTGGTCTACCTGCATGTGCCATCCGACCTCTGCAGCTCATCCAGAATGCAGCGGCTCGTCTGGTTTTCAACCTTCCTAAATTCTCCCACACCACTCCGCTCCTCCGCTCCCTTCACTGGCTTCCGGTAACTGCTAGAATCCACTTCAAGACACTGGTACTTGCTTACCATGCTGCGAATGGATCTGGCCCTTCCTACATCCAGGACATGGTTAAACCGTACACCCCAGCGCGTGCACTACGCTCTGCATCAGCCAAACGACTCGTTGCGCCCTCGCTGCGAGGGGGACCCAAGTTCCCATCGGCGAAAACACGTGGGTTTGCTGTCCTGGCTCCAAGATGGTGGAATGAGCTCCCCATTGACATCAGGACGGCAGATAGCTTGCACATCTTCCGGCGCAAACTGAAAACTCATCTCTTTCGACTCCACTTCGAGCGTTAGAACTATTAACGAAGCACTTTTATACTAATAAAGGACTGGCTTACCTAAAGCCAGTTGAGTAGCACTTGAAATGTTTGGCTCTATGAAACCTGATGTACTTATATGATTCAGTTTTCTTCAAGGTTGTGTCTTCCTGGTCGAATGTACTTATTGTAAGTCGCTTTGGATAAAAGCGTCAGCTAAATGCAATGTAATGTAATGTAATGTATTGCAGCAAAACACTGTGAAAGGTAAATTGACCATTTTGGCTTTTTAATTCTAATTACAGATATCATGAAATGCAAATATTGTGATTTCGTCAGCTCAAGTCATGAGAGTGTACTGAGGCACCATCGACTTCGGCACGGAAGAGGAAATCACTGGCCCTGTGCCTACACCGACTGTGTCTGCACCTTCAGAACCTATGGGGCATTGAGGTCACACCTCACCAGATCCCACTGCAAGACTGCATCAAGGCAAGACACCTGCACCTTTTTTTGTGAGCTATGTGACTTCAGAGAAAAGTGTACTCAAAAGACGTTTTTCACTCATCTTGGAAATCATTTAAAAAAACAACAGACTGCGGCAGGCGGGATGTAATGAGGTCAGCGTGAACCGTAAAAGGGGAAGGGATGAGGATGCTGATGGTGGATTTACTTTGACCAAAGCCAAAAGAGGTGAAGTGAATCATGTGCCTGATCATCCAGACAATTACAACGATGATTCACTTGAGGAGCACAGAGGTATACTGGTGACTGAAATTAAGAAGAGAAGCAAAGACATGGACCTCATACGAAGCAAGATGGACCTCACATTCTCCCTAAGAAGAAAGGAAGTTGTTGAGGTTCAAGCGATGGTGATGGAGATCCAGGAGAGATGGCCTGCTCTCTTTCTTCAAGAACAGGCAAGACAGATTTCCTTTTAAATATTATTTATTGTCTGTTTTAGTGCTTTTTAGTGTCATCCAGTGAATTATTCAGAGTGCTGATGTGTAAGTGATAGTTAACAGTACTATTATGACAACAAATGTTTAAGGTCGTTTTGGCAAAACTTTTCAAATTACACATGCGAATTCTAAATGGATTACGTTTTTTTTTAAGATACAGTGATTAACAATATAAAGTAATTGTAGTGGCCATTTCCATTATTCACAGGTGAGTTGTGGGAGTGATCTTACGCAGAGATTACAGTTTAGTTTGACTTTTATTCTCTTGAGTTGTACAGTACCAGTTTTTCAAAATAGTACATTACCCTTAAGCCAAACTAAATAAACTGAAATGCCAACATCAATATAAATGGTGTTGCGACCTGGCTCAAAAGGCCACAACAAAAAGGAGACACAACATGTCAACGGGTAGGTAAAGGTGTTTATTTGCACAACACTGGTCAATTCAACACATTGGTTATACTCATCAGAGCCGGGTGCCTGCAGGAAAAACAGCGCGAGAGCAGACAGGAGCAGAGAGGCTTTAAAATAGCTGCAGAGCACCAGACCCAGGTGCCCTGAGTTAATGCAATCACTGCAATCAATGCAGCCAAGACAGGACAGCCACACCCTCTCCACTGATGAACCCACAGGGGCATCACAGCCCCCCCCTTAAGACGGAGGCCCCAAAGGGATCCCCGAAACAACACCAAATATCCAGAGCCAGAGAAACTCCCTACCCCACCGGGGCACGAGAGAGAGCATCCGCCACAACGTTGTCCTTCATGTACTGGACCTCAGCCTCCAGCACCCTACGCTTATCTGCAGGACAATGGTAAAATCGCTGCTTAATTGGAGGACTGTCCCCCACGTCGATATCATGCTCCACGAGAGTTGTGCGCGATGGCGTATCGCCGAACAGTACCACAAACTTCCCGATTAAAGCCGCCAATTAATCTCTCTGTGCTGCCGGTAAGTGACTCAACAAGCGATCCAATTGGCATAACGACTCCGAATTCCTCAGCCTACCAGACATAACAGGTTCATCTGGTGCCTTAACATCACACTCCTCAGACAACCCTCGATCTGAAAGCACAGAATCAACCATCATTATGGGGCCCACACCCAACTTTTTAACCATGAAGCTATCCCCAACGGTATCACGAACATAGTACGGTTTCAGGAGGTTGACGTGACACAGTTGAGACAACTTCCTCCGATTTGGAGTAGCAATCAGGTAATTTTGATCTGACACTTTACTCTCAACAGTGTACGGGCCGGCAAACTTGGCTTTGAATGGTGAAACCTGCAGTGGCATCAAAGCCAACACCTGATCCCCTGGGCTGAATTCACGATACTTGGCTTTACGGTCATAGAGTCTCTTCATATTAGCCTGAGCACCAGCTAAATTTTTCCTTGCCATTTCCACCGCTACATACAGGCGATGACGAAAGCCCTGTATATAGTCCACTACATTTTTAGGTGGCTCACCCTCAACCAAACCATCCTGGAGAACAGATAACACCCCACGCACCTTATGCCCAAAGACCAAATCATTAGGGCTGAACCCTGTACTTTCCTGAACGACTTCCCTGGACGCCAACATGAGCCATGGAAGTCCCTCCTCCCAGTCCTTCCCCATTTCCATACAATAAGCACGCAGCATGGACTTCAATGTTTGATGAAACCGCTCTAGCGCCCCCTGGCTTTGGGCATGGTAAGCCGACGCACGGTTATGCCTGACCCCCAGCTGCTGTAGAATCTGTTTGAACATATGGGAAGTAAAGTTGGTACCCTGGTCGCTTTGAATCACACGTGGGATCCCAAATGTGGAGATGAACTGGGTTAAAGCCCTAACTACTGGCTTCACTGAAATGGAGCGCAAGGGAAACGCTGCAGGATACCTTGTAGTCTGGCACATTATAGTAAGCATGTACGCACAACCGGACTTAGATGGAGGCAACGGCCCCACACAATCTATGATCAAATGCTCAAAAGGTTGACCAAGGGCTGGAATGGGACTGAGGGGTGCAGGCTTCACCACCTGACTTGGTTTACCAGTGAACTGACATATGTGGCATGCTTTAATATAACTTGCAACATCGCGCTTTAACCGAGGCCAGAAAAAATAGCGTAGGACACGGTCATAGGTTTTTTTTATCCCCAAATGTCCCCCACTATCATGCGCAGTTTGCAATATCACATCACGAAAGCTACTCGGCACCACCACCTGAAAAATTGCCTCCCCCACAGCATCACCAACACAGGGCACCCACTTACGCACCAGCAAGTCCCCCTGAACAAAGTAACCCTGGGCTATGTCTCTGACCTTCTCTGCCGGCAACACTTCAGTCCACAGAGCAGAAAGAGATGAATCGTCCCTCTGACTCCTGACCCAGTCCTCCTTTGACACCGACGAAGGGAGATCAGGCAGTGAGACCACATGTACCACATTACTTTTTCTACACTCCGAAACATGTGGGTCAGCAGACATTTTACGGCTCTGTGCCCGTGTCACCGCACAAATTGGAAACGCACTTGGAAACTGCAAACCACTCTCATCTGGCTCCCCAGATGCCACCGGCCTGGAAACCACCACAGGCGGTGGCACACCAGCCCACACAGCACTACCAGCGAGATCGTTGCCCAAAATCATATGTATCCCATCAAGTGGCAACGCGGGACGCACACCGATAGACACAACTCCCCGCACCAGTTCGCAATCCAGCACTATTGTATGCCGTGGCACAGGGATCAAGCCCATCTCCATGCCCCTCATCAGCACAAAATCCCCTGTTTCTGTCTCTGACGAAAAAGGCAACACTGACTCAACAATGAATGAGTATCTAGCCGCTGTATCACGCAACACCTTAATCGGCACATATTTGTCACTACCGACTACTGATACTACCGCTTCAGTGATGAACGGCTCAAAACCAGAACCCGCATCCAGGTCGGCACAAACCGGCTTCTTATCAGGCACCATGCCCGAGCCTACACCCAACGGTTTTTTATCCACCACGGCAGAACAACACATGGCTGGAGCATGTGGTGACAAACGAGGCTTCCCCTTCGTTTCCAGCAATGGACACTGCTCCTTCCAATGACCCCCACCTTTGCAATAGTGACATTGGTCCACTTTGGCCCCCTCGGGTCGCCCTGTACCTGCAAATCTACGGGAGGAGCCTGGTGAAAACTTTGCACGGGCATCTCCATTGTCTTCTCCACGTTTCCAATCACCCCTAGAATATTTCTCCGCAAAACTGCCCTTATGTGTCAACACAAAATCGTCCACTAATTCAGCAGCTCTAAATGCGGTGGGAGGTTTCTGTTCATTCACATACGTGGCCACACGCTGAGGGAGAATGTTTTTAAATTGTTCCAAGACAATGAGCTCACAAAGACCGTCAAAACTTGCAACCTTTGCTGCCGCGCACTCATTTTAACCATAAATCCTAATGCTCTGTTTTTCTGATTTACAGACATCTGACATTGCACAGCAACGAATGATAATGTGTCTGGAAGGTCTGCCCTTATTTGTCCGTGACAGTGCAGAGAAGCTCTTCCTGAAATGCCTGGTGTGTACAGTATGGTTGTCCATTAATCATAAGTCTACATTTAATGTCATACAAGTGCAGTTATTAAGTTTTCCTATAATCATAGATAAATCTGTTTTGAAGATGAAGCCCGATTCTCAGGATAAATACTAGACCTGCTACATAACTACTAGTGAACTAGTTGTACAACAGAACAGTTAACATTTTCACAGTAATTATTGTGTCATTGCTGAGCAATCAAACCAGTGTTTTATTTGCAGTTATATAATATCCTTATTTGGTAAATAATAATTGCTTATCTGCTTTCTACATGCAGGACACTGATCCGGAAGAAAAGCAGACTGCTGGTGTCAAGATGGGAGTCCTCACTGTTCTCGTAGATGATGGTGGACCTACCCTGTCTCAAATGGTCAACAGTATTGCTGTTGTCTTGGAAGAGACAATTGTACTCTCGGATCTACCAGACATCCCAACTGCATTTGTCTACCTTTTTGGTACTCTATGCCCTGAACATTGAGTTTCCAAAAGAACACAAGTACACTTTTGAGACTGTTCAGCACATCTTCATGGGACTTTCCACCAGTTGCTCACAGCGGATCAGGAGTTTGAAAACAAAGCTCTTAATCTAAGTGAGCATTGGCAAATTCAAAAACGGATTCACAAGATGTCCCCATTTCATTTTCCTGCCTTCACCGCTGTTTGTGACTTGAACATTCAGTTCCCAAAACCAAACTAAACCAACTAACTAACGCACGAACTAACCCAAATAACCCAAGTTCTTTATCTTTACAGATAAAATGTTAACTAGTGACATGAACATCTTGCTACATTTTCAAAGACATGTTCTCACTCTTAAGGCACAAGCACCTTTTTTCTCTAACATTATTTCACATTTTTCTCAAGCTGGCTTGCATACTCGTTGTTGTAATATTGCAAGGACTAGTTAGTAGTTACTGCCACAATTGTTGTCTTGCAGCTGTTTTTTTTTGTATAAAGAGCCATATGAGTAGTGGAAGAGTTGGAAATGGTGTGGTCCCT